CCTCTCTCTTAAGTAAGGCTCTCAGCAAGACCTCAGCAAAGTTTTTCATGGTATAGACCTCCTGTCCAGTAAACAACAGATGATTATATATTGTATCAACTTGAAATGTAGAATAACATTTGTGAGCAAAAAAATAATTAGCAATTAACACTTACCAAAAGCCATAATGGTTCACATATTCCTTCTCTCAAATATTACATTTTGAGGATTCTACAACAGACATATTCATAAATTGTTGCTAATTTTAATACTTTTTTTGAAATCAAAGGCATCTCATGCAAAATCACTAACTCGACAGACGCAACCTGGAAACCACGTCAAAGAAACTATAAAAACATTTTCACTTAACACATGAACTAGGTCAAATTATTTATTGCATTTAAATATCAATCGGAAATCCGTCCCGGAATTGTGGATTTATTGCAATGAAACGGTCTCTCTCGATTCAAACGATCGTAAAATGTTATGTTCACAGGTTTGAAGCGAAGAGGACACGATCAGCGTAGAGAAAGATGTTGATCTTTTCCGATAAACTGCCTGTACGCAAGATTAACAGTACATTAAATGAGGGTGATCTTCGCAGTAATGAACACCACTTGAACAGAAGTGAAAATAAAAGCCTGACAAAGAATTCAGGCCTGTACGGGAGTTGAACCCTTGCGATATCCTAGCAGTTGTTTGGAAATCTTGATATGTTCAATTTCGCTAAGCACGCACAACCTTCGATTAAAAGCTTTCAATTCTATTGCATTACATGTACACGCTTACGAAAAGCACTTATGGTTCAAGTTTAATCACCTCATCGTCTATATTGAGCTCTGTTATAAAATTACTTGAGGGATTCTTTACAAATAAACGTTAATGAAGTGCGACGATCATATCTTTGACGCACTGAAATTTGTATTAACACTGAGATTCTGAAGCATCCTAACGAGGTATTGTAACTTATCTATTGAGACGCTTAACCTTCTATAACCTAAAATAATTACCTTGCTGTGGCCTGACGAAAGAAATTCATAACCTTCCACATCCACGTGCCACACCTTAAAACCCAAGCGGTCACTAACACAATTTACCTTGCATTTAAAAAAATAACAACATTTACTTCAATTACTCGTAACGCGAAAGAAGACGACAAGTCGCGATCCTCAACCTCCGGAAACTACCGAAAATGGTGCGAATTTGCTGTTATCGCGGGTGCAACGAGCGTATTGCACTCTGGGATCTTCACATTGAATTATGGGCTATAAGATGGCAGACGAAGTCAAAATAGAGGTCTGAAAGGTGTTGGAAATTGGAAGAGTTAATTTCCTAGTCAAGTGTTTTTCTTCTCGCATGATATGTACCTGTAAGTAGTCAAAATAAATATTTTCTTATTAAAAAAATCGTCATGCAGTGGTTTTGGTAGGTTTACAAGCAAAAGAAACACAAGAAAGGTCGTTCCAAACACATAACTTCCTTGTGAGGCACTTATGGGGTCTAGGTTAGTACTCACGTAGTGGTCTGGTACTTGTTAATCCTAAGCAGTGACAATCATTTCCTTTATTTAAACACGATAAGGATTTAAGCTTTGTAGTTTGTAGGGTCATGTTTAAACTGATAAGTGAATAGATAGTTGAATAGACAGTAATTGTAGAAAAAGGCTTAATCTTTAACATCTTATCTAAATGTACGAACGTAAAATAAATATCTACAATGTGAGTTATCATTTGTTTAATATTTCAATTTACAATTAATAATTTTACTTAACTGATAATATTATTCAGCTAAAAACCTCTTATAAGGAGGGGCTGGTATATACTTCATGGCTGAATGCCATACAGACAACTGAATGGCCAAATGATATCTTACCACATTGACAATTTTTAGGTTCAGCCTTCTTGAAGAGTTCACCATACTTGTTGTGCTTTCTTTACTTGAGGTGCTTTCCTTACTAAAGGTGCTTGATTTACTTAAGGTACTTTACTCACTTGAAGTGTTTAACTTGCTTGAGATGCTTTACTTACTTGAGATGCTTCACTTACTTGAGGTGCACTACTTACTTGAGATGCTTTACTTGAGGTGCTTAACTGATTTGAGATGCTTTACTTACTTGTGGTGCTTTACTCACTTGAGGTGCTTTACTCACCTGAGATGCTTTACTCACTTAAGTTGCTTTACTCACTTGAGATGATTCACTCACTTGAAGTGCTTTACTCACCTAAGATGTTTTACTCACTTAAGATGCTTCACCCACTTGAGGTGCTTCACTCACTTGAGGTGCTTCACTCACCTGAGGTGCTTCACTCACCTGAGGTGCTTTACTCACTTGAGGTGCTTCACTCACCTGAAGTGCTTCACTCACTTGAGGTGCTTCACTCACTTGAGGTGCTTCACTCACCTGAAATGCTTTACTCACTTGAGATGCTTCACTCACTTGAGGTGCTTTACTCACTTGAGATGCTTCACCCACTTGAGGTACTTTTCTCACATGAGATGCATTACTAACTTGAGGTTCTTCACTCACCTGAGGTGCTTTACTCACTTGAGGTGCTTTACTCACTTGAGATGCTTCACTCACTTGAGGTGTGAGCGGAATTTCTCACTTTAGGCTTGTTAGATTGTAAGAGGGTTGAAATTTTACAATATATGCTTTCATACATGATGATGAATTGTTGAAGCCCACTTTATAAGTTAGTTTCAGGATAGATTGCTTATAGTAAGTTCTTAAAGTGTCCCATTTAGCCCTAAGAAGGACTTTTACTGACTGTAGGTCCTTGGAAAACCTGAAAGACCACATTGCTCTGCTGTGTAGTCTTTCAAGTGAGTCTAGGTCATCTTGGAGATTTGTACTTCCCCATACAGATATGGTGCATGCAACTGCAGGAATCATTAGTTTGAAGTACAAGTTTAAAAGATCTTTCTTGGGTAAAACTCTGCTCTTCTTTATAGGACTTAGTTTATTGGCAAAGCTCTTCTTTAATCCCTTAATTTTAATAAACCAGCCTGCTTGTCATCAATATCCACACCTAGGAGTTGACAGTGTGTTACCCATTCTAAGTTATTTCCAGCAGAGTACATGGGGGAGGGGGAAGTGAACAATCCTCTATAACCTAGCATGCATTCCAATTTATTTGGGTGTAATATTAGCTTGTTACTCATACAGCAGGCATACAACTCTATTAGGGTTTTATTTAATGCAGCTGACATGTTGTCTATGGTCTTCCTTATACAGTATAAGGTAGTATCATCTGCATACATGTAGACAGACCCAGACTGGACACAATCAACTCAAAAGATCACTTGTGTATAGGGTCAATAGCATGGGCCCCTGAGGACACTCCCTTGGGAGGTGCCTGAAGACACTGAGTAGAGGCTTAATCTTTGCCCATTTAAAACCATGTACTGTTGTTTCAATGTAAGGCGGTAACTTGCCAATCAGTTTTATGGGGGGCTGTGTATACCAAATTGATGTTGAAGCTTGTTAGGCAGGATGTCATGATTTCCACAATCAAAAGCTTTCTTGAAGTGTCTTTTTGTATTTCTTGCTTGTCATGAACAAGGAGGAGTTCAGTGAAGTAGCCCTTGTGATATGCCCATTTATTTTCTCGAACAAGGCAATTAAAGTTCAGCACATGGTTAACAATCAAGTTATTAAGGCAGGACTCTAAAATCTTGCTTGGTAAGCTGAGGATAGAGAGAGGGCATAGTTTCCTCTGTCCATTTTGTCATATTTTTTGTGTACTGTCAGTGGTTCTCCTGTTTTCTTTTCCAGGGGGAAGGTGTCTACCTTGAAGCTTGAAGTAAACAGAGGTGTCAATGTGGATACAATAGTTTCTCCTTGCAACTCAATTGACCTTTAGGCGATTTCATCTGGGCCACTTGCTTTGTTCATTTTCAAGTTGGTGTGCATGTTGAGTTGTCCACTCTGATTTTTAGTGCCAGTAACTGTTTTGTTAGATATGTGCCAATGGAAGAAAAGAAGCCATTCATCATATCAGCCTTTTCCATTTTGCAAACGGCAAGGCTTCAGTTATCATGTTCAAGGGGCTCAGATTGTTTTATAGCATTTTGACAAATTTGTGTTTTTCATGAGTCACCGGTAGGCGCTTAAAGTTTTGACTTTGTCAACTTTACTTCTGAGGTACTCCACTTTTGCTCTCCTTACATTAACTGTGGTCCTATTTAGGATGGATTTACATTCTCGCCATAGTTGAGGGTGCTTAATAATGATGCCTGAGTTCAGCTAAGGATGGCGTGGGATTGTTAAGTATGGCTAAGGATGGCGGATTGTACTTCAAATTTATAAATTCAAAGAAATATGAAATTAGACTCGGCAGAAATGTTGTTGTTGAATAGTACTAACAAATAATTGAACTTAAACTTTTAAAAGTATACATAAAGTACAGTCAAGTTTTGTTCTTTCCTGTTATTCCTGGGTACATTGGCAATATTGGCAACCTGTCAGTGGCCTGCTTGTTATCTGGGAAGAGAACCAATGTCTATATTTGAGCAAACCATTTATTTGATCATTTGGGGAAAATTTTATCTAGGTCGCTCAGAATAATTATACTTAGTGGTTTGGAAAACCCCCTGCTCTGATTCGAAAAATGTTTGCATGCTTTTGACATTTATTCAATCACAACTGCAGATGGTTTACTGGTTCTAGGTAGTTAGGTAATGGGTCTAACTGCCCGACAGCTTCTGCCTCAATTACATGAAGAAACGGTTTTGACAATTCGACAGCCTCTACCTCAATCGCATCCTGAAATGTGGAAAAAGAAAAAGCTATCTTTCTGGCCCTGGTTGTTAGAATCACTCCTGTTGAGAATTGGCGGACTCGCCGTGACCTTCTTTAAGTGTGAAGCCTATTTAATTGGAGCATGAGTTCGAATGGCCTCAACCCCCAGGTATTAGCTCTTTTTATGGGGTGTAGCCAATTATTTCTGATGTAATTCCCAACGCGAGTGGAAATAACTTCACCGACAAGGTTAAATTGCAAGAACAGCAGAGCGCACTGCAGCTGCAACAGACCAGGATTATCGAAATGCTAGCTGCTAACCAAAGCAAGAGCAGACTTCCTCAGCCTCGTGTTTCCACGTTCGACGGGGATGCTGTGGAGTTTCGCACATTTTTTCCGGCCCTTTGAGTTTTTGATCGAGTCTAAGACATTGAGCAGTACCGAGGGGCTCTATTATTGAGAACAATATACTTGTGGGGACGTCAAGGGATTTGCGCATTCACGTCATCATTTGCCACCCGATCCAGGGCAACTGGAGGCCCGTCGGTTGTTGAAAATGGAGTTCGGAGATGAGTAACAATTCGTGTCCGCGTACAAGTCTAATAAAGCCTTAAATTGGCCGGCCATCAAAGTAAAGGATGGCGTAGCCCTTGGCCGATTTCCGTCTTCCTCGCTAGCGGTAAGAATACAATGGAGGGCAGTCAATACTCGTCCAAGTTTGATCAACCGGACAATATTCAGAAGCTGATATTCAAGCTACCTTACAACATGAGGGAAAGATGGCGTCGTGTGGTCGACGATATCATGGAGCTTCAAAGGAGGCCTGTAAAGTTTGACGACGTTGCCACGTTTATTGACCGAGAAACCAGGATAGCCAGTCTTCGGAAAGATCTTGGAGAGCTCGAAAATGGTTACGGACACCCGGTATGGCAAGGGAGCACAGACGACCACGCCCAAGAGTTTCGTCGCTAATTTGGATGGTGACCTTGGTCCCAATCCAGAACCGAACATGTACGTTAATGTCAACACCTCCTACGAAGAGCCTGCCGCCGCATCGATAAGCGGCTCGTGCCCTTCTGTAACTTAAAGCATGCACTCGAGGATTGTAAATCACAAAAGTGTTGCCCTTATCAGGAGCGTATTCAGTTTCTAGCGTCAAGAGGACCTTGTTTTTGATGTTTGTCCCATAAACATGTCGCAAAGGACTGCACCGAAAGGAAATCGTGATAGATATACAGGAGCTCTCCAAAGTGAGATCCAGCAACATACCTCTCCATTTCCTTTCCGTAAACGATCATTTATATCCTGCAAAGGATATTGCTTTCCTGATTTCTGAACAGAAAACAATCATAATTGAAGTAGCAAACATATAATCATCACAGGTAGCAATTTTATATACAAATCTTCAACAGTACCAGCTGCTAAAACCACTTAAGATAAGAGAAATTTCAAACCATTAAGAGTTGTCAACACTCTAAAATTACTTTAAATAACTTGGCCACCAGAATGAATCAAACTGACAGAAAGAAGGAGGCGCAGCACTGGCAGTGTGGGCTTTTGTATCCATGATAACCGTCACGAATATGGACCACGCTCTAGACAATCTAAGAGGAAAATTAGGTAAAATGTATAGCCACTGTAGTCTGTACATTAGGTGTGGTCAATTCAATTCCCGTAGTTTGGTTTAGTTCAGTTCAGTTAACGTTGCTATTGCTTGGCTTAATTAGGTGTAGCAAAGTTTGTTTGCAACCCTTCGTGTAGTTTTTTTAAAAAGTGTTATTTGGCTCTCACGGCAAACGGTTAAAATTATGGCCATTTTACGGCTATCGGTTAATTTATTTCCGTTGCGATTAAAAGAAAAATGTTTACGGTTGCCTTTTTTTACGTCTAACAGTTGAAATTGGCCAATTGTTACGCCTGACAGCTATTTTTTTCTTTTTTTGCTGTTTTATGCAAACGGTTAACCTCGTGTAGAACCTCAAACATGTCGTAAGAATAGATTCATTGGCGGAAGAGAATTTGATACCCAGAGCCGAGACTCCTAAGGTGGAAAGTGAAGTAGTGGAAGTTATCAAAGGAAGTATCATTTAGAAATCAAATGAAACGTGCCAGGTAACGTTTTGAGCACCTTAAGCTGCCTCTAATTTGATGGACTGTAATAGTGACTGTCAAAGTTGGACGATTTGAAGAATTTGCCAAAACAATTGTCGAACGATTATCATACATTTTTAAAGAAGAGTGGCATAGAACCAGGAAAAAGTCTTGTGATCAAATAACTTTTAACGTTCCCGATGACCACCGAAATTGAGAAACACAAATATTCGCATATTTAATTGGGTAATATCCGCACAGTCTTTTAAATAATTTGTCCTGTAAAATAAGGCGATTTAACAATTTTTCCTTGAATACATTCATCGAAGGGAGTGTTATGGCACAATGAAAAAAATAGGAATCGATGTTTAGGGACTGTTCATCGATTCTCAATGTTTTCAGAAAGACCTTACTAGGAGGCCCTCAGCAGTTCGTGGCTTTTCCAATGCCGGTCAACCAGACATCGAGACAATTCTTGTAAGCGATTTCTTCTTGATAACATTCATTTATTGACTAAAATATTGACAACCTATTTGTTCTACGAACACAACACGACTGCATATTTTAAATATATTACTTTAAAAAAATACTTGCAAACATCATTAATTGTACCTCTCATTAAAATATAGAATTAATTAATAACACTCAATATTTTAACCATTACTGGTGAATAAAAAGTAAATAATTGTAACATTCATTATTCATTATTTTTTCACTACCAATAAACCAGTTGAAATAAATTTCAATATTCGATATTTAAGAATTTTTTCCGTCTAACCACCTCTGTTTCATGGCCAGGATAAGTCTAAACCATACACTGAAAATCTCAGGTTTTCGATAAAATTTTGCATCTAATGTAAATCGTCCACTCTTTGAGAGTTTAGTCGTGAACTCATCACGATCAATTGAATTCATTGAATATTTTTTACGAAAGTCTACAAAAGTGTTTCGAAAGACTCTCTCTTCTGAAAGGTACAGTCATATAAAAAACCTCGGCATATAAATACTAATATAAATAATATACAATCTAGTGGGAAGTATAAATCATCATGAACAATATATGTACATATTCCAATCGAAAATGATAGCGACCGAGGGATTGCTACAAGAAATACATTTCACAAATCCTTTTAAGACCTTTCGTAAAACACAAATGAAGACATTTTCTTTGCACCCTAAAGCGCGTATAAACTAATATCTTTTTCCTTCGTCATAGCTTTACATACAAGAAGGCCAACTGTTTCATAAGAAAAAGTAATCGTTGACTACCAATTATTCGACATAACACCTAGAATAGACATCCACCATCTTTTGACAGCGAGTTAAACCCTTTAACTCCCAAGATCTGATAGTTAATTCTCCCCTCTAGCTGCTATATCTTTCCCTGTAAATTGGTTACGAGAATTTGGTGTTAGATCAAGACAACAATTTCTACCTGATAAGTTTGAGTATTCTCATTACCTATTTGATGGATAATGTATGAATAGTCTAGGGAGAAGTAACATGTTAATCACTTCTGGAAAGGAAAGGTGAAAAATATTCGCAAGACAATTTTAAAAAGCGCGCGTATTTACAAGAAGTTGCTCGTAATAATTCCGCTAATACTCAGCTACCTTTGGCAACTTTTTACAGCACATGACGTCACAAATGGGAGAAGCTATGTCATCTGATTTCAAGTACAATTTAAAATACAGCTAACATATATATATACATAATAAAATTTTGACATCAAACTGTCTTAGAAGGAGCGAGGGTTTTAAAACTTTCTCTACAGATCTGCACCCTTCAAAAATGATCCAGCGCATCCTCGAAAACCTCTTCGTCTTCATCACTCTCCTCATCAGCTTCTCCAACAGTCGAGTCCTTAAACACAAGAAAGAGTGAAGAATTAACATTTCGTAACAGCGAGTGCTATTCTATGTTAACGAAAAGCTCAGACTTAAAACTTACATTGCTGCTTGATACAAGATTCTCCTGCACTGTATCAGGAGATAGGGCATTACAAGAAACCTCTGCAAGTTCGGCTGGCCTTGACATCAATTCTTTCACCATTGCATTCAGCTGGCAATTTTCCTGATAGGAATATATCAATGATAATAGGAAGTATAATAGGATTTAAGGACTTTTCACAGCATTTTTTACTGGAACAGTCAGTAACAAAGCAAACCTATAAAGAGAGAACAGCAAGAAATGTACGGAGTTATGAGGATCAAAATACAACAAAGAACGCGCATAAAACACACAAAAACCGCTGACCAGCACCATGACTGAATGGTGTGTAACTTTCCACCTTATTGCTGGACGAAGACTAGAAGTATAGCAGCTGGAACGTCACGATCAACAATTGAATTGACTCTACAGTATTTATAATCAATTAAGTGACCATTAACTGAAACTCCATATATGATGACCACCACAACCGTTTGTGAGTATTTATTGCCCAAAACTCATCTCACCTCAAACAGACATCTGCTGCGCTTCTCGGCTTCTGTCCTTTTACGTTTTTCTCCGTCAAGTTCCTGTTGCAGTATTTTCACTTCATCTGTCATCCTCTGATCTAACAACCTCTCATTGCCAAGCCACAAACTCTCACGTTCCGCGTTAAGTTCACGTTGTGACTGTTTGACCACCTGGAAGGAATGTCGCAGTTGCTGAAATAAAACACGTTCTGTTGCATTGGGTCTACCAGCAAATAATAATCTACATTGATTATTCTAGTTTAAAAAAAACCTAACTGGGCAGTGCTATCAAATGCACCGCACAAGAAACACTAGCACTATATAATTATGTATCTACCATGCACTGGTAACTGTAATTCAACTGGCATTAAAATGTTTCTTTGCTTAAAACCAGTCCATTGTTCTAATCTTCTTTACATTAAAAGCCATCAAACAGCATGAAGAGCTGATCCCCTCTGCTACCCCTTGTCGTATTTCTACATGTAGCTGCTATGTAGCCTATGTATACAATTCATTCATGCCTCTATCTCTGTTAATTATGTTCAACAAGTAGGTGTGTCGATCCTTAAGAAATAACCAGACAATGTCTATTTGCCTTTAATACATAAAGATTTATTAAATCTGCAACTTAATGCAAATTGCACATCAAACAATTAAAATCCTGACATTTCAACAAATGGCTAGATAAATCAGCACAATTACGTACTTCAGAAAGTTCTTGACGTTCCCTCATTATACTCTCCATTTGCTGCTGAAAACTGTTATTTCTCCGGTCCAATTCATGAAGCACCTTAAGTAAAAATATAAACATCAGTCATTACATCTCCGCATACGACTTCAAAAAAAAGGGACTGTAAGAAGCCAAAACTCCTTTCAAGAGCCACGCCCTAGATTTGTAATAACTACATCAAAATCTCAAATTACAGTCCTTACCTGAATATACTCCCCTCTAAGACTTTCATTTTGCTTATAGAAAAAAAAAAAGACAAAGTCAAATTCAAATTACATGTACTGGTAGGTGTAAATGACAGGCAAGCTCTAAATATTTGAGTGATAAATTAGTACAAGCCATGTAACAATGCAACCCACTACTTTTATGAGAATTTACTTTTCAAAGTAACTTACCTGCAAAATTTTTCAAATGCCTATTAACATTTTCACGTTCTGTCCCCTAACTGGGTAATTAACTATTTGACTCCGAAAAATAATTAACTTCTCCCCATAATATCCATAGATTATCCAGCAAATAGGTAATGGGAATACTCAAGCTTATCAGGTGGAATTTGATATCTTGATCTAACACCAAATTCTCATAACTAATTCACATGAAACAAGTAGTAGCTGGAGAGGAGAATTAACAATCAGATCTTGGGAGCTAAAGGGTTAAGGATTTACAAGTGGGGGCACTGAGGAACATATTGCATGACGAGTGATTTGAGGCAACACTTACAGCAGGGTGATGTTAAGAGGAAGTTTAGCCCAGTTTGCTGATGATGTGCCACCCCATTCACAATGTGAGAAACTTCCTAATAATTGCAAAATACTGTTTACTATAGTAATTAATGACCGGAAAAAATTCTCCTGCAATATTTGTATCTATCATCATCATTGAAGAGACACTCTACTTGCATCTAAATTATCCAAATTATTTGGAAAACTTACCGCTGAGAGTGTTTCAACATCCTGGTCTTTCTGTTCACACAGCTAAAAACAAGAAAGCATATTGTGCAAATGAGGAGCATAGACATCTACCTTAATTGTGGGTGTGTGTATTCACTCATCACTGGATAAACTTTAACTTCATGACAGCCAGAGATAATTAATAATAAAAAGGGGGTGATGTTACACTTACCTCACTGAGTTGCTGAATCTTCTGATCTTTCAGTTCACACATCTAAAAAGTTTAAGATTCAGTTTGATATTAACCAAACAATGTAGACCAATTCAAAAAATATCCTGTGAATGGCTACTTTGGACACAACATCATAAATTGATCAGCAGTACTCCGTTTTCATCAATAAATACAATCTGGCAGCAAGGGGGAAAGAAATCACCACTACAGAGTACAAACCTCTTCAGTCATCCTTATTAGACGCTGATTTTCTTGTTGCAGATAGTTGCTGTCATCCAAAAATCTTTTCAACTTTAAAATCAAGAAACAAGTAATACAAATCAAAAATTTAAAAAAAAGGTACAGGGTAACTACTGGCTTCAGGACTCCAAGCTCAGCACTCAGATTTTATCACAAAAGAAAACTGTGGAGCACAAAATAATAGTGTTGTGTGAAGAGAGAATGTTTCTCATACACCATCAACTCTAGACCTAATCACTGAATATGTATTAATAGACAATAAAATAAGCAACCACTGTGTCACATTTAATCAAAATTTTATTTTCCTGCCCTGACTTCAGCTTGGCACTGCCCTAGCTTAGTTTCCCAACATGGAAAAAAGGATAATTTTTTTCAGGAAAACACACTTTTGTTTCAATATATCATAATTATAACTATTGCAGAAACAGCACCAAGCAAATTTACTATAAATAATATCTAAATTACCCGATTTTGTTTGTCTCAAAGGCAGGCTTGTAAATAAAATTCTGTTCACCTCTTTGCACATACATGCAATATGCACCTATATAAAATATCTTCTGATTACAATATTGACAAATTTGAAATGCTTGCATCACATTTTTTTGTATGACCATATTTGGTTAATAAATTCAGTTGTCAAAAAGCATATGGTCTTACTTGCTTGTCTATCAGTTAATATATAACTACATATGTAATGAAAATTTTTTACAACAGCACTTTGTCAAACTGTACCTCATCAATGGTTTCCTGAAGCTGAGCACACTGCTGTCTACTATGCTAAAATTAAACAAAAAATATTGTTACTGGTGTTATAGGTCTAAAATGTTCAATCACAGGAGCTCTGGACCTTCAACCCTACATTTGTATAAACTCATCTTCCAATAAATTTATCTAAGTATACAAAAAGGGCCACACTTCATATTGTATACAGATAATTTTTATCAAACAAAAGAGAAACATTTGTGTAGTAAGAGCAGTCTACTTGAACAGTTAAAAACCATATAGCAAATGAAAATAAACAAACTGAAGAGGAAAGTTAAGAAGATGAAAAGAATTAATGACAAATTTCTGAAAGCTCAGAATCAAGATGGAATAGCTACAATATGCAGTTGAAAAGCCTTATCTTAAAGTATGTCTGACCTTAAGTGGCCAGAACAACCTCAGTTTAACCCAGTTTCTACAACATTAATTGACTAACAGTATATATAAAAAGGCATTCATTTTCCCCTTCCTGCCGGGAATAACATAATATAAAAGTACAGAGTTCCCCTGAAGAACATATCACAATGAGCTGGCCTCAGGGCAATGAGAGGCACCTGGAACTCTTAACCCTGAGTCAAGTCTGGTGACTCATGCCACAATAGTTTACAGTTGTGTGCTTGGTTGCCAAGCCTTTTGAACAGGATTGAGGCTAAGGTTGACCTTATTATTATAAACCTTGCTTTCAAATGCAAATTACTTTGTACTTTGTAATCATGCTAACTAGATACTGATCTCTATCACAACAAGGTCACCTTCAGCCTCACTTGAAATCAAAGGCTTGGCAACTAGGTACACAACTGTAAAATGGCCCATTGAAGTCTCCATATTCTGGCAACCAAGGACAAGGGAACAGCAGAGCATGGGAAGTACTTTTGATTATTAATTATAAATGTTCATTGTTTATACAACTTTGACTTTTCATTATTAAAACTAAGTCATACATAACATATTTAACAACTTACTACCAGAACACCAAGCACTGGCTGCCAAACTGGTAACTAAGGCTACAAACTGATCAAGTTGCCAAAAATTTCTCATGAATTTCTATGACAAGCAAAAATATCTCAGCTTGAAGTGCTCCACTGGGGGTGTATTTTCCACAAAAAATATAAATGTTATTCTAAAACTTGAACACTATGGCTGGTTTTAACAACTGTACCTGTAGGTCTTGCTTGCATGCCTCAAGTTTTGTAGACTTCTTCCGTAGTTTCTGTGAAAAAAAATTACAATCAAGCTCAATATTAGATATTCACTTTACCAATATTCCCCTGAGATATATGAAATAATTCACAAATCATGGGATGATAACAGGAAGTTGCAGCTATTTTGTTGGTTTTTGTTCTAAAGTCATGTTTTGAAGATTATTTTCAATAGCCCCTTTTACAGTTGTATACTTAGTTGCCAAGCCTTTGATTTTGAGTGAGGCTGAAGTTGACCACATTGTGATATAGACCAGTATCTTGTAGTAAGCATGATAACAAAGTAATTTACATTTGAAAAGTAGCAAGGTCTGTATCATAACAAGGTCACCCTTTGCCTCACTCCTGTTCAAAGGCTTAGCAACCAAGCATACAACTGTGAAATGGACTATTGAGAAGGTAAGAAAAGGTTGCTTGGCTAAAACTGATCAGGACTGTTAGAAAACATTCAGTACCTAGAGCAATCACACATAAATATATTACCAACTTAACAGTACAGTGTTCTTCATATGTATGCGTAATAAAGTAAGAAATGATAATTTACCTGAATCAGGTGTGCAATGTCTTCAAACTGTAAAGGGTAAACCTGTGTGTCAAAGGAAACATGGTACATAAAACATTAGGTACTTGTAATTAAGAACTTTTGAGATACAGTCAAACTTGTATCAAACAGTCATCCACATGGAATGGTAGATCGTGCAGAAAAAAAAATTGATTGTGCAGGTAAATTAAAAGCACAAATAACAAAGCTGATGACTTTCAATGAATAGCATGATAAGAAGACTAGTCCACAGGATCCCTTGTTGTCTTAACAACCTCCCAACAAGCTGCTTCTGTAAAGTAGAGATTTCTCCACTGTTAAATAACCTGAAAACAGTCTTAAAGGATTCTAGATATTTATATTTGCACTATACCAGTAATGCCAATCTGGCAAAATTGTGTGGTCCCACCCACATGCAACCTGTTAGAAGCTCTAGTTACAGAGTTCAGATCCTGACTTATCTACAGATGTCAAAAAATTTCTTAAGACATACATATAATAGTGAAGATACAAAGAAAAAAAAAGAAAGAAATGAAAAAAAAAAAAGAAAGAAACAAAAGGAAAAGAAAAAAAAAAATACTCAGTTAGCTACTTCACATCACAATACAAACCTGTTGAATATTCATGTACTGAGTTTCATCATCATTTTCTGATGGTTGATTACCAAATGCTTGACCTGGGGCATCTGCTTGATCAGCCACTGGATTGTTTGCATCTAAGTGATGATCTGTAACCAGTGGTGATAGAGAATTTGCTGCTTGAGGCACAACTGGTTGTGCCCCTGCAGATGAGTCATGGGAAGACAAACTTGCATCTGTGTCACACTGTGACAATGAACTGCTGTTTTCCTCTTCATCTGTGTTGTATACATCCCAAGCCATACCCTGGTGCATTTGGCCTGCAGGATCCTGCATGGCAGACCCTGTATGCACAGCTGATGACTGTTGAGAATCAACTGGCATTCCCCAGCCTGGTTCACCATGATTTACACCTGTATTTGCTTCAACAGTCATTAGGTTGTTTGAATGCAATTGGTAAAGTTGTGGGGAATTTGCTGCTTGGAGAGAAAATGTTCTTGATTGTGTCCTTGAGTCATCTGAAGACAAACTCCCATTTGGGTCACTCTGCACTGATGAACTGTTACCTTCTGCTTCATCTTGGTCATATGTGTATTGGCCCACACGATCCTGCACTACAGACCTTGAAGGTACAGCTGGTAATCTAATAGCATTGGAAGCTACTGAAAATTGAGGGTCATAAGGCAAAACTAGCCTGTCATGATTCGCAACAATTGCTTCACCAGCTATTATATTTTTTTGATGTAATTGACCGAGCTGAGGGGAGTTTACTGCTTCAGGAGTAACTGGCCGTGATGGTGTGGTTGAGTCGCCTGAAGACAAACTAACTTCTGTGTCACTCTGTGATGATGAATTGCTGTCTTCTGTTTCATCCATGCCATATTTTCCAGATGGAGTGGCCTGCTGGAGTTGGTTTACAGAGTCCTGCATTGCAGCAACTGGTAAAATACTTCCATTGATGCCTGGTGACAATTGCAAGGTCTGCCCATCATGGTCCTCAGCATTTTCTTGATCAACCATATGGTTGCTTGGTTGTAATCCCTGATTTTCTTCACGTGGTGACTGGGAATTTGCTAAATCAGGAGAAACCATTCCAGGTCTTGTACCTTTACCATCAGAGTTTAGACTAAGATCAAATTGGCTTGCAGTTGCTAAGCTACTCGCCTCAGGTAAAGGTGGTGAAAACCCACCACATAACAGACTGCTGCTTTCCAAGATCTTCTGCCCATCTCGAAAGACAACATTGGCTTGAACAGTTTTTGGGTTATTTGGACGGAACTGATGCCCTGTAACCACATCACTTTTTACTGCCTTGCTAGTACTCTTCAAAACATCAGTACTTGGTTTATCTTCCAGAGGAGGTGAAAAACTCATTCCTGGGCAAACACCTGGGGCAGTGCTTGTCTTCCAAGTGACCATTACATCATCTCCTGGCTTGGATGGCAATTCTAACAGAACAGAAGGAAAACAGTAAGAACACTTTATATTGCCAAGTATTGTATACATTAAGTTCTGTCATATTTCCTATTCTGAATCTAACACAACAACACCTTCCCTCCAAAGCAACAAATAATTATCTTAAAATGTTAAACTCAGAAAGTAACTAATGTTACTCTGAGTCTTCAGGGAAGTACTTTTGCTGAAGGAGAAAAAAGTCCTTGCTTGAAAACCAAAGCAAAGCCAGGAGCAAAAAAGTGCAAAACTTGTGAAATTTCTTATCAGAAATGAAAACAGTAAAAGCTATCACTAACAAGGGCTAATGGCTCACCCAACTACCAAAGATTGGCAAAGAATATGTTTATTTCCGTCAGTTTAACCAGATCTGACTACCCAAAATGAGCATGACTGTAGAGGCTAGCTGGAGAAAAACAGGATTTAGAAGCCTTTCCCATTCCCCCCAAGTTCCTCCTTGCTTATTGTGAAAGTTAGGAGTTCAGCAATATTATTATAGGCTGGGGCCCAAAGTGTGAACCCAGTATTGACATAATTTTCTGAGAAGGTATGATGTGTGAAGAAGATGAAAACTTGAAAAAATTTTTTATTAATTAACCAAATTCCTCCTCTACAAAAAATTCTCTTTAACTCCCATGAATTACCAAGACAGAATTTCTCCTTACAATTATAATACAATATCAAGCAGAAAAATATAGGACATTGTCAGTTAGGGGATTATAAGTTGATCCGATACAAATTCTCCAGACTAACATCAAGAACTGTATAGCAGACAGTAAGGAGATTTACTAATGAGATCTTGAGAGTTAAAGAGCCAATATCATAATGGCAATTGATAGAATTCCAGCAATTTTGGTGCCAAAAATCATGAATGAACACAACATGATACTGGAACTTGAGAGATCTACTAAAAGAAAACCAGAAAGTATACAAGAAAATCGTATCACTTTTTATGAGACTGATCTTTTTTAACAGACTGGATTTCTTGGAAGGAATTGGTGTCCTCTCATTTTATTTAACTACTTCCCTAGACTCAGGAAAGGAAAACTCAAACTAGCTCCAATTTTTTTAAAGAATTCAGCATTTAAGAATGATTTTTAAAGGCTTGGGGTAAAAAACTTCATGGAACTTGATGAAAGAATCAAATCACACAAATCACAATGGAGCAGCAAACAAACAGTAGCTTTAAATAAAGATTTTTCATTTTATGTACAGCAAATGAAGAATGTGCATGGCTTTATGCAAACTGTTGATTATCATGTATTGTTACTTTTAACTAAAAAACTTCAGGACATAATCCCAGAAAACTCACCACTTTCAGGAAGAGTTGAAAGTGAATGCCCATCGGCTGGATTGATATTCTGTTGTCTCAATTCTTCTGATTTCTTCAGAAGACTCTCTTCAGCCTTGCTACTGACATTGTTTGGAGGACAATTATCCAAACTATTGACAACATGCAATGAATCTTGTGCCGAAAGATTTTCAAATACTTCCAAACATCCAAGGCTCTGAAATATGGACCTCCATTTATCTAATGAGAGTTCTTGGCCATCTCTGACTTCAAAAGTGGCAACAACCTCACAGACTGCCTTGCACTGTGTTGTATCTATTCCTAATTCTTTACCAAGAACGTCCATAGAATCTTTGCAACTCTCTAAAAGACGCATTATGCTTTCTCGAAAGGAAGGAGGACTTGTGCCGCCTGATTCTAAAAAGAAATAAAGTACATTCTGAACGTTTAGACAACTCTGTACTGTAAATTACATCTAAATTGGCATAAATAGATCGGAGAAGACAGAGATAAACAGTTAAACGGAGAAAAGTTTTACTGAGAACAAACAGAAAGAATACACTTATTAAATAAATGAACAAGAACGTTATGTAGCAATACATTTGATAACATGAACAATTCCATAATCAATTTCACACTCACCAGCTGACATCGTACTTTATATATAATTCCTCGTCTTAAAATCGTATTCGAGAAATATCTGAAAAATAAGTCCATAAATTATTATCAGTTTTTGTGAGATTTATTGTTTCAAGTACATCTGAAGTAAGGTAATTGACTTAACACAGACGTGAGAATCATTACAACGTATCACACCAAAGAAGCACTGAAAACATTCACACTTAATTGAAACAAGCTCACTCACTTCAGAAATTCAACAACAGCGATAATTGTATATAAAATATTTTCATCTAGAAATTGGCCCCAGAATACCGAGTTTTGACGCAGTAAAGGTGTTCCTATCAATTCCAAGCAGTGGTTAAATTAAATGCCTAAAAACCACGAAGAGGTTGACGTTTATTTCACGCGATTAATTTGAGCAACAATGGGGGTATTCAATTTGCAGCTTGTACATGTCCAACTAATCTACACACTTGTAATTAACACATTCCTCGTCTAACAGCTTTCTTATACCACAGAGAAGGACTGAATGTATGGCTTTTTCTTCGATATTAAGCTCAAGTCACTGCTGTGAAATCATCTTTATCTCTAAAATTCGAGCGAAGGCAAGTGATCATGACTCTAGAAGCCGCAAATTATCAAAGATTGCGCGCCAAAATATTGATCACCGTTATCAAATATCATTAGGAACGCTTTGCAAATAAGCATGACCGAAGTCTAATATAGCTTAAAGAGGAAAAAGCCTTAAAATTGAAGACGATTACCTATTTTTACTGATCTTGAAAACACATTCTGAAGCCCTATGCAAGATTACGTATCATGAAAACTTACAACCAAGGTACTCAAACTCCGACTTACTTCACTCAAACGCACTCTCGATGAAATGCTACCAAGATCAAAACTCAAGTGATCTTCCTGGCGTTGACTATGGAAGAAGGGAAACAAACAACGCCACCACCTGAGGTAAGAGACTTAGGCACACTCTTTATGACCAACACTCTCAAACATCAACAAGTGACAACTGTCGTCTCTTACGAAGTCGAAGCGTAAAATCCTCAGAAACGATATCTTCGGCCTCAGTTCGGATCCGAAGGGCTATTCGGGTCTGGTTAAAAGCGCCTCTGATTGGTCAGTTATTTTTACCTTGTCACGTCAAATACCTTGTCAAAATAATTCTGTTTAAACAGTTCTATACGTTTTAACCGGCATGGAATCGGATGAATCTATTGATTTTATAGATTCCGTGGCAGTAAGCGCTTATGGATCGGTTGTTGCTAAAGAGGAACACGAAAATCCTTGCGAGCATTTCGAAGAAGGTGAAAATGTTAATCCACCACGTTTTCATCCATTCATCAATTTTTTTTAAATTGAAGTTTGCCATCCTTGTTAAATAGGACCAGGGGTCAGTTGAAGTTTCCTGCCCGCGGAGAGGAGCTTGCGCTCGAAAGAGTGGTCGAAGTTGTTGTCCATGCAAAGCAGCAACGCAAACTGTCAGTGTCACTGACGTTACTGCAAGGAAGTGACTAAACTTAAAATAATTAAACGTCCAGCAGTCCGATATTTTTCCATAATTCTCGACGAAATCCAAAAACTATTTATACGAAAATGTTCTACCTTTATTTATGATCCTCAAGCGCTTCCAGGCAGCCTATAATTTCGAATTTGATGTTTTCTGCTAACCCTGTAGACAGAGTACGAAGCCATCCAAACGGTTGACACTTAAAAACTTTTCAATGACACGGCTTGACACAAATAACTCCATATTTCTCTTTGAACTATACCAATTTTTCGTTGGAAAATATTCTACCTTCATTTACAATCCTCAAGCGCTTCTAGAAAGTGAAAAAATTCCAACGTTGTCCGTTTCGCTGACCTTGTACACAGAGTGCGAAGAGATCCAAGCGTGACACTAAGAAAATTTTCACCGGACACAGTCTTCGAATAACTAAACGTCCGGCAGTCTGATATTTTTCCTTATTTTTTTCTCAGTTCGTGAGCGGGCGGTATTCTACGAATCCTGCAATCTGATTGGTTCCGAGAGCGGGCAGTATTCTCCCCATCCGGCCCGCTCACAGCAGGCGGTATCCGATCCTTTGTTTCGAAGTTTTCTTGGAAGCCTTTTAAGTCACCTTTTAATATCATTACGCAAATAAATATGTTTTAACGAAACCTCTCTCTTTCATTTGCATTGCCCTTGTTTTCTCTATCCGCTCATAAATTGTTCCGTTTATTGAGAATCTTGCCGTAATTACAGCCCTTAATCATTCAGGTTCTTTTCGCAACCATTTTTCAAGTTTTGGAAAAAAATAAAAATGTTATTCACCAGCCAAGGTCGGTCCGTATTGGGAAAAAATGTGCCCTCTGTCTTGTGTACCGCCCTCGGCTTACGGCCTCTAGCAGTATCCAAGACCTAGGGCACAGTTTTTCCCAATACGGACCGACCTTGGCTGGTGAATAACATACATATATTTCTCTTTGAAAAATACCAATTTCTGTTGGAAATATTTTATCTTCATTAAGAGTTCTCAAGCGCTTCTAGAAGGTAAAAAAATTTGAACGTTGTCCTCTTCGCCGACTCTGTTCACAAAGTACGAGGAGATCCAAGCGTGACACTTAAAAAATATTTTCTTCGGATTCTTGCGGACAAAATTAAAAATGCTGTAAGGAAACTGTAAAATGACGAACGGTAAATGTATTTACCGTATAACAGTTAACTATGAGTCCAGGATGGCTCTTGAGAAAAACGATTTTAGAAGGATTTCAGTGATCTAGGAATTTCTTGTTACAGGAAATTGGGTCGCGGCGCGCATTGCATCAAGGTTGGAAATAAGCCTTTAAAATGGTCGTCAAGGGGACAAACCATTTGAGAGGGAGGTGGAGGTAGTGGTTTTCTGTCTGCATAATTTTTTGTCCTTTTTTCGTCGTTGCTGATGCTGTTTTTTTGTGGGTGAAGGCATCTGCATGAACACTTTTTTTTGGTGAACAAACATCATTTCCTACACTTATTCACTATATGTCAGCCAACATGCAAGAAGATTAAATTTACATGCTTTACACGTCAGATGAGGGAGATGAAAAAAGGGGGGAGGGGTGGTCAGGCACATGTTTCATGCACATCAAAAAATAGAGATAAAACATCACAAAAACATAGGAAAAACAACTTTAAGATTCACTTAACATGAAAAGAAAAAAATTACAGTTAATTAACAGGGTTTTAATTTCATATTTTCACATGTCATGAAAATCAAAAATTCCACATCACACTCAAAACCTCTTTCATGAAAGAGTTTTGTTGAACTGAGAATGTTAAAGATCTGAGTTAGTCACATATCTCATTTTCTATTTCTTCTGCTAAGGAAGCTTGGCTCTTTGGCTCCCTGTTTTACCTTGGTTATCTCTCTATATGCACATATTTTTTCCAGTAGTGTTGGTGTGCATGAATTTGTTTTTCCAAGTAACTTTGCTTGCATTAACTTTTTTGTTCTCCCTCTCCCCCCCCCCTCCCCCTTTACATCACATCATATTTCTAATGGGCAATCATTAGAGAGAAAGTTTCTCCAGAAACCATACAACATTCATCTCCACTAGTAAACCTTTTTTTTTCACTTGGATTTAAGCCCAGGTGCTTCACCCCTGGTCCATAAATCCAATGATAAAAACTTGTTCAGTAACTTACATTATGGACCTCAAACTAAGCTATATGAGGTACCTATGTAATATCATTAGATTAAAAAGAGTACTCCAAATGATAAAAAAAAACTCCCTGCAGATGTGCTAAACATCAGCAATGTCTCTATGCTTAGCTCCTCCTCACTGAAAAGATTGTTTGAGATGGTAAGCAGACTGATATACAGCCTGGCAGTATTTAAAATGGCAGTCTCAAGATAAATTTTTAGATACATTTGAAGTCAATTTTCAAAAGGTTGGGATACTCACTCAAATTTAAACTTTCAATGGCAAAATGATTTGCATAGCATATTTCTTCCATGCCAAAAAAATTGAAGAAGTCCCTGGATGATAATAACATGGTCAGTTTGAAAAATTATTACCAATAGCAACTATACTGCTTTCTCTGTGTCAATCAGTATAGAATAATAATCATATAATCCCGTGATTTAAGCTCTTTCTATGATCTGAGCCTAAAGGTAATTCTTCACTATGGTCAAGTGACTTTTGTGGAAGGAGGTAGACTGGGAACTATCTGATAAATAACATCAGGATCACCTCAATATGCTGCTTAGAAACTTTGCAGATGTGTTAGGATCTCTCTCTCAGAAGTGTTAGCCTTGACTTTATCATCAAAAACTTGAAAAAGCTCATTGGAGTGGCTCCTTTCTCCTCCAACAGACAGACACAAACTAGGTTATCACAGGTTCTTCAGAAATACTCAATTTTTTTTCTTTTTCATCATAGAGTTCTTTATCCACATTGAGCACTTGCCTTCCTCTAAATAGTGTGATTGAGTTTTTTAATACAACATTCCATGTTAAAACATCAGGCCCTAATCATATTAATTTAGGACCTATAACATCTTTTTGGCATCATTATAGACATTCTCCTCAACATCAATGACATGTAAAAAAATTTTAATTTTCTGTCTCAAGAAAAAGCGAAAAGAGAAGGCAATTAAAGATTGACTCTTTAATCTACAAGTTATATACAAGACTCAGGAATCTAGGGAGAATGTCCTAAGAAGGGTAGTGACTATTTCATGATCAGTAGTGATGTCACTATGGTAGAATTTAAAATGCCCATCTACAAATCCTGACTCAACCTTGAAATTCAGTATTGGAGAATATACAAATATCTGTGCTAAAAGAAGAAAGTACAGCTAAGCAAGAAATGTGTACAACAGAAAAACTAATTTCTCAGTAATTTGATATTGAGATGCACTGAGTTCAAGTTGGTCATCATTGTAAAATGTTTGAAATATTTCCTTTAATTTTTTCATGCATTCTTTTGGCCAGTTCCAACCCCTTGCTGAGACTTCCAGGGAAAACAAGGTCTGTACGCATTGCCAGTTCCTTTAGTTTATTGACAATGTTACCAGACTCCTTTGTTTCACAAAAGTACATATTTGCGTGTGGCTGGTAATGTGGTTCTGGTTCCTTGCGTCCATCATTTCCTTGAGAAATAATAACTTTCTTGTGAATAAATACTGCAGTATAACAATCGTCAATCTGTGCATGGGCACCGAACAGATCTTTTTCCTTGATGTAATAAATTAGAGCGACATCAGTTCTGTTTTTCAGACAAGTTTCTGACCAGTAGCATCCAGGTAGAGAGATTTTAGCGAATTTATCTATCAGCTTACACTCTGTCTTTTCCACATTGTGACCTAGGTACATTGAACCTCCTGGCTTTAGTATGCGCAGTAATTCTCTCACGAGATTACACTGTATCTCCTTATCACCCAGCTGTCGTAATCCTCCATAGTTAATAACATGCGAAAATTGTGTTTTATCTCCGAGAAAGTTCAGTTTTCCATCAGAGCTAATGGTTCCAAAAGTGGCTGGAGTATCATTGAACAACCTTTTAGCATAATCCACGGCGTATTGATCTGCGTGGGCACCGCCGATGATGAGTTTCGGGTATTCCTTCCTCAAAAGAGTCAGCCATTCATTACATCCAGTATTGCTATCAAACACAGAGGTACCATCCTTTAAATTTAGTTGTTTAGCCAATTCAGGAATCCAGCTCTTTTCTACAGTAGTTTCATTGGCATGTTTTCTTCTACAGTGGATATCTTCCCAATTGTGCTTGAAAACAGTTTTCTGAAACCAATGATGAAAATGTTGTTTAGCTCTATCCATGATCCCTTTGCCACCAGAAGCTCGCAGGCTGAATTGTGCTAAGAGGAACATGAAAAGAACCAAAATGGTGGCAGACGCCATGAACACGATGCGGCCATAGCGAACATTGGTTATCCTCATGTTTGGGCCGCAGCAACGAATAAACATCACCCAAAATGAGAAGCGATCTCAAATAACGTCATGGGTTGCTTACGGTATCGAAATCAAAGAATATATATGAGATTTCACTAAAAGTTATCGATAATTTTTTCACTCAGACACTCACATACACGTTGAGCAAGAAAGCGAGGCTGCGCTAGTAACCAGGACCCATCGGTTTTATAAAACAAAATATTTTGTTCTTGTCTGGTAGTTTGCCTTTCGAGGAACGATGACGAAGGACAACACCTTCCAATTTTTGGTAGGGAAAAAAAATTCAAGATTTTACACGGAAGAAACTCAAGAAAGACGATTTACATGTGTCTCTGATCTCGACGAGAGTGTTAGTACCGCGTCTACGACTCCTCTTGCGCGCGTGGCTCCTCGCTCGTGCGTGTCACACCGTGTATCTCTCGCGCTGGCTGAAGATAGTCTCGCACTTCATTTCTTATTCATGGAACTCTGGGTTGTAAAGGAGGGATTCACATGTCAGTGTTTTGATAAAACTTAAGCCTGTCAACTGTACATCCCTGAGTGGTATTTTTTAAGGGGATACTTCAAGCAGGAAGGGGAGAGGGGTGTTATTTGATACCTTCACTAACAATCCACGATCTGGCAAAGAGTTTGGAGTAAGTTGCATCATCCATTACAAACTTAACCCTTTACGCCCTAAAATCCAAGAGGATATAATCTCCTAATATTATCTTGCCAATATTAGCATGCATATTCTCCATACCGTTCCTCATACATTTGTTAAGGTGCTGACAAGGAGAATTTGTCTGACAGCGTCCTGGGTTCGCGATCATGCTCTTGATTCGAGGGCGATACTGTAGCGAGCAATAAGATGTTGATCACTCTTAGGGTTGAAAGGATCAACATTAGTGTCTGTGCAACTGCCAACCTACCCCTCCCATAACCTAACAACAGTCTATTGATAACAAGTCATGGTTAATGTTGGGTTAGGGGAGGGGTAGGTGGGCAGTTGCCCAGATACTGATATTGATCCCGTTGAATACAACAGTCGACCAGGCACGTGACGGACAATGACAATTGAACTCAGTCTTTCATGCTCTAAGTGTATGTTGGCCCAGATTTTGAATTCAGTCACGGCCATTTTGCAAATACGTACAAACTTGCTACTTTAGTCATAAACAGTTTTTTTGTTTTTCTTTTCGTTTGTGGCCACTTTTCACACATAGTTTTCACTGTGCTATAACTTTGCTATATCACTGTTATATAAATGGTCTCAAATAAGAAAGTGTTAGTTTTGGACAATAATTCTGCATAAAGCTATTTAGAAGCCGATATACCTCACTTCCGACAAACAAAGACCCTCTTGTTGACAGAGTTTTACTGATTGTCATAACTTGCGACCAAAATAACTGGAGTGTAATGAATCTCATTTACTAGATCGGAATCCTAAGTATTTTGTTGTCTCAAGTTTCTAAGTATTTCTTTCTGAGTACACCGTTTCGTCGAAGCGTTAACCGTCTGTTTAGTTTTATCAATGTATAGTTTGGACGCTCAATGTTTGCACAAGTTTTAAGCACCATTAAGTGTATTCTGAAGCCTTAAGTTAAATATGGCTAAAGCAACGCGACAAATGCGTCAAAATGAGGAACATTACGTTGCCAAGATGAACTTCCGAAGTGAGAAGATTCTACAAAGTCAAATTGAGCGCTTGAACAGAGAGAAATTACTGCAAGTGAAGAGTTTAAACGCTCAAATGAGGACATACGAGAGAAAATTACAGAAGATTAACGAAAGAGCTGCCGAGGTGGAAAAACTTTCGCAGAACATAGATCCGTCTCAGCGTCTTTCAACGACAGACCACTTCAACAAACTGAGCAACGATGCCGTAAGGCAAAGACACTTTTCTACAGGTGTGGGTTATTCGTACATTGATCAGCTGTTAGGAGCATCAAAACCACTCGTCAATAGACCGATAAGATGGGGAATAAACCCATCTTTACCAAGTCTTGAACAACAAACTGCTAAACCGATTACTGTCGAGTCAGATGCTGTCTTAGCGAAAGCATTTATGACGGAGATTAAAGGTCATCCTATTTATCTTCGACCGAGGGAAGCTGCGTACATGAAAAAACAAAAGTCGGTTCCATCTGCTTTAATTCTGCCTCCCCTTCCATTAAAATCCTGCGGGAAAGAGACTATGGAACAACAGTCAATAGAACAACGCAGAAAACCGCGAGATTACGAATTACAGGAAAAAGCTGAAAACATTGCTTCGCTTGATAATCAAGACGCAAATTCACAACTTTCTCCAATCCTTGAAAACGAAATTGAGGCAGATATTTCTGAAATGAAACGATGTGATAGTAAATTAGCTCCGGACGAAAATGAACCAATCGATCACATTTCCAATACTGAAGGAATGACGAAAGCAAAAGGATCCCTTACAATGGAGAAACCTGAGATTGTTTTAGAGAGCAACGGGGCTTTGTCTTTGGATAAGGAAATAGCGAGCGATGTTAGCAGTTCATCTTCACTGCGTGGACATTTTATCACGGAATACGAATTCCCATCCCATCAAAGAGCTGATCATTTTACCAGAAGCACTGAGACGTTGAATGTTCAAACAGGTGAAATTACAAAACCTCACAACGAAAACGAACCAAGCTCTTTCAAGTACCAACTACACTCCCGCAGATTTTCATTATGAGCAACAACTTGTAACAAAGAAACACATTTTATGTGTAAGACATTTAAATTTTAATCGCTGTTTGAGAATCTATTAAATATTTTCTCCCATGACATTCAAATGTTAAGTTTATAGCGAATTGTAGTAAGATATTTTCTACCACATCGTGAAAAAGTTACAAAACCGTGATGAATCCTCCCGTGGTCTCGGAAATAAAATAAACAAAAGACTTGAATCTTATATTGATAGCAATAGCTCAGTTATTTAATAATATAAAACGCCTCAAAGATTTTTAGTCATGCAGAGGCAAAGATAAGTAATGGCAGAGTACCTATACCTGTTCAGCAGGTTTTCGCGCGTGGACTGGGCGCGCGTAAATCGATTTCATTCCACGTAGTGTCTTATTTTTTCTTGATCGGGTAGATCGATACTGATAGATGTTCAGCGAGCAAGTATATGCTTATTTAATTTAAATAAAGACTCCCCGCATGTAAGATTTCGCCGTGGTCTTCCTTGAACGCGACACGCGAGTATTGAAGGGTCGAACCAGGCGCGCTCGCGATCACGAGACTTATCTCGGGATTTTACAAATAAAACTTTATTCTGGGAAAAACAGGAGTGCTTAAGCACCCGTCAAAACCTGTAAAACTATTCTGTCATGTTCAAGGCTGTCAGTAACATACACGTACCACGCGAGTTGTCACGCCGGAGAGACACCTCACGAGCTGAACACACGCAAAAAAAGGTGACAAGTTTCAGCGGATTCATTTCGAAAAATATGCCTCAATTATGAAATCCACGTGCGTATATTGAATCTGCCTTGACAATTATTATTTTCCCTTCGCATAGTAAACACCGCACTTAATTCCTCCACTGAAAAGCGATCGATTAAAAAAGCTGGCTATCCAGCCACCTCCTAGTAAACATGAAGAATTCATCGTCTCAGTTTAAGCGAGTTAAATCTTTAAAAGATGGCGAAATGAACGGAGTGAACGGAGAGTCCCCTCTGCACAATTTCGTCAAAGCGAAGCAGAAGATAAACGCTATATTTGGGGACATCAGAGAGTATCTTGAAGACTGTAACAAATTCTTAGCTGATTTCAGAATAGCTGATGAAAATGAACACGACATCGAGAAGTTCTCAAGCGAGGTAAGATTGTCGAATGTCGCGTTCAAGCTCCATGATATTGATGAGAATTGGTAAATTAAATATTGTTAAACCGGTGTTGATCATACAACCTTGTGGTTGTTTTTTAATGGTTTTTGATTTATTTTTCTATATAAGTATTACTTCAAAGCTGCCTTGATTGATACATCGATCAAATACTTTCTTTAATTAACTTTGCTATGATGTTTACAATTTGTAGATGTACAATCCAGGATTTTCATGGATTGTGCATTCAGATATATTGTACAATAACATTACATAATGTAGTTGTGTTCTTTACTTGTTTAACAATAATTCGGTTTGTTACGGACGCTTTATGTAGATTCATGCCAGTTTTTTTTGTTTTCCCTAATTGTTTCTCCCAGTTAACACAAGACATATTGTCAAGACGCCAATTTTGCAATCTTGGTAATGGGCACTATGAACGAAGTTCTGTGTACAACCCATGCATTTATTCATGGTACATCTCACTTAATGTACACTCTAGATACCTGCACTGTCACTGTCAATTTTTTTATGTAATTAACTCTCATTAAGTCAGAACTGATTACAGCATTTCTCTCACACAGGTGTCAGGCTATCTGGCCCAGGTTTCAAGCATTTCAGAGGTTCTATTAAGGGATCAGATGAAGGTGGCATTCTTTGGACGAACCAGCAATGGAAAGAGCA